AGGCAGCCGGTGGCCGCTTCCCCATTCTCTCCATTCGGGCGCAAGAGCCATGGAGACGCTGAGAGAGTCTGTGCTGCACTTGGCCTTGCAGATGTCGACCTACAAGCGGGCCACGCTGGACGAGGAGGACCTGGTCGACTCGCTCTCCGAGGGTGACGTGTACCCAAATCACCTGCAGGTAGGAACCCCAGCCCTCTGAGAGCCCCCAGCCCTGGCCTACTGAGCATGCGTGCTGGTGCCGCCCCCGCCCCGCCCCCATCCTGCTGTCCCAGACGGAGGGGCCGTGCCAGCCCCGCAGCAGCTCTGGGAGAAGCCTTTCTGGGGTAGAAGTGTCCCTGAGGCGCAGGGCTCTCCTCACCGGCCTCCCCTCCGCAGCTCCGCTTGTCCCCACATTCTCCTGACCACCTGCTACTGGGGGTACAGCACAGGTGGCAGAGTTGAAGCATCCTTTGGAGGGAAGTTGGTCCAGTTCTCTTTTCACAGAAGAGGCTGTCCCTGAGTGCTGAGAGACTTGCCCAAGGCCACACAGACCATTACTGACAGAGTCTAAAACTGTCAGTTGTAGCCTGGAAAGCCTTGGAACCCCCCACAGCCCTGGGCTAACCGGAATGGTTGGTCACCCTGTCTGGTGGGCATTACCCCATTCTTCCTCTTTCCCCTTAATCTCCGAGTTTCCTAGGGGCGAGGAGAAGGAGACCATCCTCTGCCTGCTCTTTCCCTGCCCCTTTTCATTCCACTCAGGAAGCCTAATTCCTCCCCCACCCAAGGTGTGCCTCTGTGGGCCTTGAATATGCCCACTGCCTTCCTGCCTGGTGGCAGAGCAGTGATTGTGGCTGCTTTCTGCTCTTCTCCCCCTGTGGAGCTGAGCTGACCAGGACCTCAGCCCTGGTGGGTTTGTTCTTAGGCAGGTGGGTGGGAGCTAGTTAAGATATGGAGGATGCCCACTGGGGCCCTGTGACCTAATTCCTGAAGAGCCCACTTAGAGAAGAGCTGGAGCAGATCCGTCTAGGAGGACTTCTGCCACGCTGGCCAAGGGAGGAATTGAGGAGAGTCTTGGGGCCACCCAGTGAACTGACACCAAATCACAGCTCCTCCGGAGGGCAAGCTTAGGGTGCGTGGAAACTTGGGCTTCCAGGCCCAGCTCTACTCAGGCACTCCTCTTAGAAGCTGGGATAATACTACTAATAAAGGGAAATAGCATTGATTGAGTCCCTCCTCCAGGCTAGTTAAGTAGTCCCAGGGAGATCAAAACTCATGACTCCAAGTGGTCTGTCTGCTGGGATGTGGCATCCTTCCCTACATCATGCCACTTAGCCCTCAAGACCAACCCCATGAGCTGTGGGGATTACTGTTCCCACTTACAAAAGGAGGAAACTGAGACTCTGAACGGGGAGACAGCTTGCCTTAGGTCACAGAGCTAGAAATCTGGGAGAGAGAAATCAAACCCAGTCTGTCTAGAACCTCTTCCCTGCGGACCCTTCCTAAGAGGCTAAATCCAGCAGGAAATTAGATTTCTGCGGCAGGCACTTTTCACCAATCAAAGCAGAATCTAATCAGCAGTCTTTTGCAGTCTCATCTCTCACAGAAGGTTCTAAATATATCAGCACAAAGGCATTTCGGAATTCACAACAAAATAATATGCTGTGTTGTTATCATCGTAACAGCAGCCCACATGGGTATAGCCTTTTTCAGGCCGCAAAGTACATTTACCTGCCCAAGGCTGCCTGGCGGAGTAGAGACAGCCAATCTCTGAAGCCAGGGGCCCAGGTCTGAATTATGACTCCACCTGTGATCTTGGGCGAGCTGCTTTAATCTCTTTAAACAGCAATTCCCTCATCTGTAAAATGGGAGTTAGAGAAAATGGATGTAATTCGTATTACGGGGCCTGCTAGGATTGTTGTTGTTTTTATGATCTATGAGGTAAGGGCCCCTGTGGCTGTATTACACGTGATGAAGCTGAGTCTCAGAGAGGTTAGGGACATTCCTGTGGTCACAGAGCTATCATGTGGGTTGGAGTGCAGTGTTGGTGCTCTTACACCAAACTGCCAAACTGGGTATATTGTCCCCTTTTACTACAGGAAAAGCCAACAAGCTTGTGCTGAGGATTTGGAGGCATTTCTGTGGGTCCCCAGCCTGGCTTTCCTTGAGCTTCCACAACTTCCCCAAAGCATAGGTGAACTAGCTAACAGTTGTTCTGAGAGTCAAGAACCTGTCTACCTCATCATACAAGGAGAGTTTTGTATTCATTTTATGTTTTTAATCATTGGGAATTTTTTCCAATAGAAAAATGTTACATGCTTATTTGTGGAAGAAAATAGAGTCAAGTATAAAAAAAGATTTACAAAGAAAGAGTAATCCCACCACTCGGAGATAACCGCTTCCAGTTTTTCACATTTGCTTTTTTTTTAAGTTAATGCCACTTCATAAACACTTTTCTATGTTGTTAAAAACTTCCAAAACATGTTGCTGTTAAAAATCATAACACTTTGTGGTACCAATGGATAAAAATATATTTACTCTTCTGCTACAGTTGAACAATAAGCCGAATAACTATAACACTGTGAATGCCCACCTTGTAGCCTTTCAAATAATTTCCTATGAGTGATTGCTAAAAGCACAACTGCTCCCTCAATTGTAGGCTTTTTTTTTAAATGGACTCAGTCCCCCCAAATCTCCCTCTCTTGACAGGCAGCCATAAAAATAACTACTTGATTTTTTTTTTGAGATTTTTAAGACCATTGTTTCTAGAAACTCCAAAATTATGATTCCAATAATAGTAAATGGAATTTTGCATGTTTCAGCCAAATTTGCCACCTTTTTTCCTGAACATGCCAACAAAGTATTGTATATCGCTGGAGCAAAGTTCTACCTGTACCTTACCTGAAGTGGTTTTTCTTTTCATTTATCTCATATTTGAGGCACAAGTTAATTGCAATCCATGAAAAGTGGTCACTGTGGTCTGAGTAGAATTTAAAGCCTGGTGTCTCTAACATGGAGCCCCAGCTTTACCTCACATGGGCTCTGAAGCCTGAAAGCTACTCTCTTAAACAGCTCTTTTTGCAAAATGGGGTTAACATTACTAAACCACCTCTCAGAGCTGTTTCAAAGGTTGAAATGAGACAATATAAGTGAAAGCGTTTGTACACTGCCCAGAAAATGCATTTAGCTGTTTTCAGGATTATTATCAAAGCTCACCAGGCGTGATATCTCAGTGATGCCCTGAATATAATAGCTTTGCGTCTGTTCTGCTCAAACCGGCTGTCTGGTCTCCCCTCATCCCAGTACATACCATTTCAATGGCTCAAAAGGAAATAGCTAAAGTTACACCTACAGCCTAAACTGAGGAGCAAAAGGCCACAACTGTTTACCAGAACCTTTGAAACTCACCCAGTTACTCCTAAAAATTAATTTTTGCAAGAAAAAGGAAAGCTGAGATATTTAATTCTTAGCAGTGGTTTTCTCATTTTTTCCCCTTGCCATGCACAGAGCTGTCTTTTGCAGGCAATTTCAGGGACAGTCCCACTTAATATTTTAAAAAGATCTCTCTGCTTTACCAGGAGACCCTTTCAACTCCAGCCACCTGTTAGAGCCTTATACTTTTGGCCTTAGGGTTGTTCTAGGATCTGAGATGGTCAGACCTGGCCCCTAATCCAGCTTCTTCATTTAAAAAATGGGAGACTTGGGGGGAGTGGGGAGAGGATAGATAGCTCAGTAGTAGAGTAGGAGCCTAGCAAGCACAAGGTCCTGGGTTCAGTCCCCAGTACCTCCATATGAGTAAATCCATAAAACCTAATTGTCCCCCACTAAATATGTACAGTGCTGTATGTCAATTATATCTCAGTGAAACCGGAAGGAAAATTTTTTTAAAAAAGAGACTGAGGCCTAGAGGCTGCCTAGCAACACATGCAGGGTCTTGATAAAGTCAAGGCTGACCTTTGACTTCTTAGGTTTGTGCCTTTTCTCCCATGCCATTGGGCCATCGGCAGTTGGGTGTTCTGGGGAGCAAAGAGTGCAGGAAAGTGCTTCTTCTAAATCGTAGACTTTGATTCCTATTTAGTTGCAAGGCGACCCCTCACCTACAACAGGTACTACTTTAAGCTCTTATCAGTCATTGGAGGAGAATCAGGCAAGGGCACAGAGGGGCAGGTGGGGCTCAGGGAGCAGGTGGGGAGGACAAAGAAGCATTCTAGTTTCAGTCTGGCCTGGCCCCAGTGGCCTCAGCCAAAAGTCTGCCCCATGGAAACCGTACTAGAAACTTCCCCAGCCTAACACCCTGAGGAAGACAGGATATCACGCAGGGCCAGGCTGTCATGGTCTGTCTACTCTGAAAGGCTGACTCTGAGGCAGGCAGGCAGGCAGCCTGGTCTCCCTGCCAGCCATCACAGGGTGGTCTGGTCTTTGGGCACCAGGGGGTAGGCTCCCCGCCAAACCCTTGGCCAGACTGACTCCTGTTCATGGCTCCACGCAGCCCAGGTCACTGGGGGACCTGGCAGTGGCTCAAGAGGAGACTCTGCCTTCCCTCCAGACCCCCTGCTTCCTTTGAAAACCAGGCTCCCCACACCTTCTGCTACTAGCTTGTCTCCGGGGCCCCAGGCGGCGGTGTCCCGTCCTCGCCGGCAGAACTTGTTCTTGCCTTGTTCTTGCCGTAAGCCTAGGTGAGCCAGGCCTTCACTTCTGTAACCGAATATTTATCCCTCATTAGGGCTTTGTTCCCTTGGCAGTGGAAACCCTGGGAACTCCTGGGCTGGACAGCTCGACTGTTTCTCTCTTTCTCATTCTCCAGCTCTGTCTGTTTCCTTCTCAGTCTCTCTCACCACCTCACTTTTGAGGGCATCCTTTCCCTTCTGTCCCTTTCTCTCTCTGCCTCACACAACAGTCCATACAATAACTAAGCCAGCCGGTGAGCTGAGCATTCACAAGTTAACTCCATCTTCCAGGCGTCAGATTTGCTCCTTGGCCGATGCCACCTCCCAGTTACCTCTCTGGGGACACTAATCCTCCGACCCTCCAAGTTGCTGCAGACCCTTCTCTTGTGATCGACCTGCCCTCATTTCTAAAAGGCAGGCTCTGAAGGAGGAAGAGCAAGGACAAGACGGGCTCAGAGAGGAGAAGGGACAGACAGCAGCTCGGACCCGCAGCCCCAGCCCTGCTCACCACACCCAGGAATTGGACGGCCTCTCCTGGAAAGGCCTCTTGGTCCCAGCACATGCCTCCCAGCAACTCCTCCTGCCCCCGGGGGATGGCTCTGCTTTTCTTCAGCCCTCAGAGACGAGGCTTGACCAGAAACTATGAGACCCCTCAGCCTGGCAGTACAAGTCGTGCAAAGAAAACAAAACAAAAGCTAAAAACCCTATTTTCAAATTCCATTTGCCATTTCTGCCTGGAACTATGAATTTTTAATTTAATCCTGGCTTAATCCTAATTAAATTTTGCAGTGAACACCCTGTGTTTGCTTGACATTAAACAGTTGGCTCAGCTCGACTTTCTGCTCCTGGGGGGCAGCACGGCCATTGGACTGAGGCTGTGGGTTTTCTCAGCTCTCTCTCCCTCTCACCCCCACTTCCTGTGTTTCTTCTGCCGCCAATACTTATATCCACTCTTAGGGATGTTGTGAAGACAGAGTAGCATCCTCTAGCACCAGAATAGAATTAACACGATGCTAGACACACAGAAAACACTTAAACATTAGCTGCCATTAATTGTTACTTTTTTCCTCCCCTCCCTCTGTTGTTTCATCTTCCCCCTTTTATTTCTTCTTTCTCTCCCTTTCACCTCCTCTGGTTCCCCAGCCTCTGTCCACAGAAGAGAGGGTTTGCTGCTTCCCAGCCATGACAGCTGTGCTCCTGGCCTCCAGGAGCAGCGGGTGCCTCGTCAACCAAGGTCTCCCCTCCGCTTAGCTTTTCACCCCTCTCCCCCGATGAGCTGAGCCTAGATAATGGGGCAATGAGAGGCCTAGAAGAGGAGACAGAGGGTGAGACTAGTTCAGGAGCAGGACAGCTGGAAGAGTGAGACTAGGTGGCCGTGTCCCCACACAAGCAGCATCTGCTTCAGATCCTTTGGGGCCCCCCTGAATTCATTCCAGTGCCCAAGGTCAACTGCCTGAGAGAATTCATGCCTCTGAAAAAGCACTTTGTAAACATCCAATGCTGGGACCGTGTTAGCATCGTCCCAGGCTATCTGTGCGCCAGGCCTGCCCAGCTCCCAGTTGTCACTTAATGGCAGTAGCATGGTCAGAGCCTTTGTTTCCCACATTTTAAAGTGGGTTCTTAAGGGATTTCAGGAGGCGGCACCCCTCCCTCTTCCTGACACAGCTGCTTCAGTGTCCGAGCCTCCTGGGCCTCCACAGAATTGTCACCAGGCCTCTGTTCCTTTTCCCTTTTTTTTTCCCCCACAAAAAGTTGTTGTCTTCCTTTTTCTCTAGTGCAGCAATCCCCAGTCATTTCCTGTTCAGAAAACACCCAGGGCTGACCATGAGGCCCGTCAGTGCCCTTCCCGAAGGTGACCAGTCTCAGATCCCCAAGTGCCATTGTGAGGCCCCCTGAGGGCCGTGACCTGGCTCTCAGGGGCGGCCACCCCCTCAGCTGTTGGGGGAGCACTTGCAGGTCAGAGGCTGGGTCTCCTCCTCTCCCCAGGCAGCCCCCGCCTCTCCCCACCTCCTGGCAGGCTGTGTAGGTTTCCCTGCCTCCATGCCCTCCAAGCTTTGCTCCCTCCACCTTGGCTTTTCCAAAGAGTAAATCTAATCATGTCACTCCAGCCCTCAGGAAGAGATGCCTGGTCTTTAACCTGGCTTACGGTGCCCCTTAACACCCAGGGCTTGCCCCACTTCCCCTTCCCTATCCCCTCCCTGTTCACCTGGCCAGCTCCTACTTAATCTTCAATACCCAGCCCAGGCACCTGCACCTCTAGGAAGCCCTCCCTGACTGAACCCCTGCCCACCCCAGTCTGTTTCTTTATCTTCCTCCCTGCTGGGCAGTGAGCAGCTGAAAGTGAGAAGGTCCATCTTCCAACGTGGTCCTGAGTTCGTGCTCAACTGTTGGCACATGGCCGCAATGTCACTGAACTGGACCCCACCTTCAGGGGACCCTTCCTGTCCTGTGGCCCTGGCTTTCGCAGGAAGCACCCCGTGGAACAGAGGGGAGCCCCCAGCTGGCCTTGGGTGTGAGGGCCAGGCTGAGGCTTCTGAGTGCTGTTGGCTGGTGTGTCCCTCCTCAGCCTGGAAGGCCCTGTCACGCCCTCCACTTCCTCTCATTGTGCCTCCTTTCCTGTTTAGCTGGACTGTTAGACTGGGGATATTTTTCCCTCCCTTTGAGGACCTGCCCAAATAGAGCTATTTCTCCATTGTCTCTCCCCTGACATCTCCCAAGATTCTCATCTCTGACCCCTGGGTGGGCTCTGGAATCAATACACTTGGGCTCGAATCCAAGCTCTACCCCTTTAGATGTGTGATGAGAGGCAAGGGTCTCAACCTCTCTGGACTTCGGTTTCCTCATTTGTAAAAAGAAGCTAAGAGCACGGCCCTCATGAGATTGTGAAGGTTTCATCAGCTAAGGATGTCTGTGTCCCTGGGAAGTGTGAGCTGTGGCTGTGTCATCCTGGTGGTGGTTCCACCCCAGCCCTGTTGAAGCGGGGGCTCGGAGGAGAGCCCAGCTGGACGCTCACTGGATGCCTGCGAATCCAAACATCCTGTTCTCTTTTGAACTCCTTACTGGAGAAACAGGGAAAAGCTGATCTTTTTTTTTTCTTGTACCCGTATCGGGTGACACAAAAAACACAAGGCCGGCTGGGTTGAGCTTCTTGACTCTGATGTTTAGGAGCAAATCTGAGCTGCTGAGCAGGGTGGCGGTTCTTTTCCTGGATTAGGACTGATTCCGTGGGAACTGGACCACCCCTGAGGCAGGAGCGCAGCCCGGATGTCTCCCCAAGGCTGGGGCCTGCCACGGAGCCCCCTCCTCCTGGGCAGGGGGTGCCCCTGGCTCACATCCTCCCCGCCCCTCCTGCCTCCTTCCCTGCAGGTGAACTTCCGAAGCCCCCGAAGTGGCCAGAGGTGCTGGGCCGCACGGACCCAGGTGGAGAAGCGGCTGGTGGTGCTGGTGGTGCTTCTGGCGGCAGGACTGGTAGCCTGCTTGGCAGCGCTGGGCGTCCAGTACCAGACAAGTAGGTGCCTCGTGGGTACATCGTGGGCTTCACTCACTCCTGCCCTGGCCCTGTCCGCTTGTGTAAGGGGCTTCCGCAATCAAGCCGGGCCCAGGAGAGAGCAAGGTCTGGAGGGCTGAGGTTTACCGGGACAGAATGAGGCCTGGGAGGTGGGCGGATGGACGGTGGAAAGGTTTTGGGATCAGAAGGACATGAGTCCAAATCCTGGCCTGGCAACATATTGTGCGTGTCACCTTGGACAAGTCACTTCGGCGCTCTGAACCTGTGTCTTCTCTGCTTTAAATGGAGAAAACAGTGCCCAGTTTGGGGATGTCTCTAAGGACTAGAGTTACTGTATATCACATACCTGGTGCCAAATAGGACTGCTCTAACCTTAGCTAGGACCTATTATTGTTCAGATGTGGGCTAGTTGGACACAGACTGGCATCGTCCACCATCCACAGTTCCAACAAAATAGCAATAATGGCTTCCGTCTACCGAATACTTTCCATGTACCAAATACCGCACCTCTCCTGTACAGATGTAATCTCATTTCCTCCTCACAGCAACCCTGCGAGGTGTGGTTGCTTCTGGCCCCATTTTCAACATGAGGAAACTGAGGCAGCGAGACTCAGTGACCTGCCCAAGGTTATGCGGCTAGTGCAGGAGGGAGGGGGGCAGCTGGAATTCAGCCGCCGGCTAGCAGGCCCCAGATCTCAGACTTTGCCTCCTTTTGTTATTCATGGTACACCCCAATGTGTGTTAGTGACCCCAGAAAAGCTGTCCTTCTGTGATCCAGGGGGCCTTTGTGCACCTCTGTCCTACCTTGTATAGCCGCGTGATCTGACCCCACTCCGATCCTGCGGTCAGGGGTCTGAGGCTGGTTCTCTGTGTCTGGCTGAGTGTGTGTTGCAAGTGCCTCACACAGAATCTATGCTCAGTAAGCTCTCATGGAAGTGCGAAGGGCAGATCCAAGTTAAAACTAAGAATGGGAGTCCAGACAATTCCAGGATCTCTCGCTCCCCTGTGTCCAACATCCAGCTTTCTGGTGGCAGTAGTCCAGCTGGTTGAGCAGCCTGTGGGGCTTTGCTCAGAGTTTAACCCCATCGACTTGGTCACCTGGCACTTAACCCATCAGAGTAATGGTGAACCTTCACAGGATCTGGGAACACCAGCCCCAGGCTTTGTTGAACCTTCTCCACTGTGAATTTGCTGACCTGAGTGGGTGGCCATGCTGGACTGGGATGGAGAAGGGGTTTGGGGGCCTGGAGAGAGGGTAGGACTCCATCTGAGTCATCCTTACATCATTTACTCATTCATTCATTCATTCTTCACTCCACAAACATTTGATGAGTGCTTACTCTATTTCAGGCACCTAGACGGTACCTAAGAAGCAAGTGCTTAATTATTTAACTCTAATGGTTTGTAGATGTTTTACCAAATGTGCCTAGCATTGCCGGTACAACGCATATCTGATTGATTGATGATGATTATCAGGCCCTTAACTCTATAAGCTTAGCTTAATTCCTGCATGCCATAGTTGTGCACATACTCTGCAAAGTGAGTAAATAAATGACTGAATGAACAGAGAACAGGAAGGAGGACTAAGCTGGAAATAGCCTTTACTGATGACTCTTAACCTGCAGCCGCCATCTTGCTTCATCCTAAATCAGCTTCAGTTCAGAAGACCCTGCTGGGCAGTGTAGATGTGGCCAGCCTCGTCTGCCCAACTCTTGGCGCTGTGCCTGGGGAGCAGGTGAGACTCCAGCAGGCAGCATCACCCTGAGATTGCCCCTAGGCGTTCCCAGGATGTTTCTCCACCAGAAACCAGAAGGGAACTCCCAAGGGCTGGCTCCTAGTGATCGGGCCCAATACTTCTGTCATTGCCAGATGGAGCCCACAGGGAGGAATCTTGCTTCTTTCTCTATCCCAGCCCTCACAGGGCCTCAGAAGGTTTTTCCCAGCCTGGACCTGGCTGAGAAGAACTCTTCCTCTAGGGTGGAGCTGGGCTGGGGATCAGGTGACCCTTGAGCCAACCCATGTGTCTTTATCAACTGCCTGGACCTGCGCCTGGGAAAGCCGTGGTCACCCCAGATAATGACAGTAACCTCATTACCCAGCAGCAGGTGCGGCATTGGCCACCTCTGAGCAAACATCAGGCCAGTCAAAGCAAATTCTGATGACTCTGAAAGAACTCACCTTTAAGTTATGTCTGGGCACTTAAATACGTATTTATCCACTTTCCTGCTGTGCCTCCTTTACAGGAACTTGCAGATGCTTTGCAAACAGTGGCAGAAAAACAAACAATAAATTGTCCAGAAAATATTCTGCATGACTTATGTAGTGTCAAGGCCAGGCACTGTCCAAACAAGTTTCTGTGAACTATGAATTAATTAATCAAATATACATTAGGCACCTGCTGGGCCAAGAATAGTTGGGAAAGGATCTACAGACCAATAAATAGTCAAATAATCAAGCAATTGTTGCTTAAGTACCATCTGGGGACCTCGTCCTGTGCAGACAGAGTAGGTGCTCGGTGAAGTACTCAGACCTCTCAGACTAATTCCTGGGGACTGGTTTCTTATTTTGAAACCAAGTCCTCCTGTGATAACTAGAAGAATCAGTCTCTCTCTGTCTGTCTCTCTCAGACACACACACAAGCATGCATGCACATGCACACGTGCACACGCACACACACACACACACACACACACACACAGATTCTGCTGTGTCTTGCTCCCCGAGGATCACCCTCTTACAGCCAGCTGTACTCTGGGTTTTCCCACCAGCCAAGATTTCAGCAAGCTTTACTTCCTGCAGTTTGTTGTATAACAACAATAGGTATTCTTTTCCTTTTCCAAATATGAAGTTATATCATAATAGTGAATAGGCTTTTTCAGACTACTCAGAAATTCTCTTCCCCCTATAAAGATTCTAGTACATTCCCTAAGTTAGGAAGTGGGGCCTGCAACCCTAAGAGCTCATCTAGAGTGATTTAAAAGGGTGTTAGGCTCCCACCATTTCCGTTCTCTGTTTTCGTGTCTAATGGCTCAGTAATTTTTGTTGTATAATCATCTCAAAACAAGTAATAACCTCAAAATACAGTCACCCTGATTTTTTGTGCTGTTGTGCAGCCCCTCTGAGCCCTTTGTCAGCCTTCATGACTTTGTGTTTGTCATCTGATATTAATAAGCCCACAGGCCACCCAGCCCTGGCTGGCACTATGTTTCTGAGTGAGGCGAAGACCACCCCTGCCAGCATGTTCATTCTCTTCTGCTCTCTCAGGATTGGCCTGGGAACATCGGACCCTAAGACTCCAGGGAGCTGGGCCCCTGCCCAGTCATGAGGTTGTTTCATCGCCGTGAAATTGGTCCTGCTGTTCTCCCTCCAGTCTAGATGGAGAAACCATGCGGCTCAGAGGGACGAGCTCACTTGCGTAAGGCCAGCAGCAAAGAACCCTCTTAGAACCCAGGCTTAAGAAGGAGCCTCCGACGCCTGCCCTGCCGCACTCCTCCCCCTGCAGTGGGGAAACCAAATGTGCCAGGAGGGCCGCAGCAGCCCCGGTGTCCAGCCCAGGGGTGGTGAGGGAACGCAAGGAAAGGCCAGCCTTGGAGTTGCCGAAGCAGCATGGAGTGGGTTCAGCCTGGGCTCTCCCACGCAGCAAAGCAGCCTTGCTCCGTTCACTTGCTCAGAGCTTCAGTTTCCTCATCTTTGAACAGGGGTGCCGCACCCCTATCAGTAAACAACCCCTCTTGTTGTTGGTCTGCTTGTTCCGCTGGGCCTGTGTTCTTAGTCACAAGCCTCCATCTCCTGCGGGCAGGTACACCTTGCCACCTGGGACTAGGCCTTGGCTAAGGTTGCCCACAGTTCAGTTCCTGTGCTTGAGCCTACCCCTCAGCCTCACAGCAGGAGTCTGGCCCCTCCTTTTGCCTCTGGCCTTCAGTCTTCCCACCTCTGCCCCACCGCCTAAGAGAACTGGCTCAGAGGAAGCTGATTTCCCCACTCATTGTGTGTTTCGGGGGCACTTGTAGGATTTGGCAGCCCTCCCACTGCCCACCTGCACCAACCGCCACTCCTCCTCATGCTGGCATCTGGCAGGTGGGGCTGCCCTGCCTCCTCCACCAGCGGCCAGTCATCACCGGAAGAGCTCCCTCCAGGCCCTTAGCAGGCACAGGGGAGAGAGGGTGAGGTTCAGTTCAGATCCCACTGGCTATTGGACAGGGTACCTAGCCTCTCTGGGCCTCAGTTTCCCCATATGTAAAAATGGCCTTAAGCAAAATGATCTCTTAAGGTGGTTTCATTTTTATTTTTTTGAAGATTCAGTGATTTTCCTGCCTTGTACTCAGTGGGAATGATTTTTCATAGTTTCCTTCTATTCCTAATAGTCTCTCCTTCTCCCTAAGTCCCGGCACCATATTGTCTGTATCACTCTCTTGGCAGGAACTAAATATCCTCAGTGTATGCTTGTAGAATAAATGATGGACGTTTCTCCTAATGTCGTCTTTTCATTTTTCTTGTATGATGTTTGTATCCCCAACTAAATTATTAGCTCTTGAAGGAAAAGTCTTTGCCTTTTATATCTCTCACCACACATGCACACACGCACACACACACACACTGCACTCAGCAAAGAATCTGGAAGATAGTAATTATTTTGTTAAATAAATGAATGTATGAATGAGTGAATGAATTTGTTGAGCACCAGGAAATAATAATAATAAAAAAAAATCAATGAATATTTGTGGAAGGAAGGACTGATTTAAAAAAACACCTTGGTTCTGAATACTTTTTAAAGCCATAGACAAGATTTCAGACAGCTAGACAGAGGTCTAATTTACAAGTGAGGAGATCATGAGTTTACAGAAGTCTTTTCTCTGTAGTGGTCTAGTGATTGTCCAGTTCCCAATCTGTTTGGTCAGGGCTGGGGTGGGGTGTGGCACCCCAGGGTCCCAGGCCACCTGCACTGTGTTCCCATAGCCTCCTCCCTGCTTACCCTTCACTGGCCTCTTGTCCTTGACCCCTGCCAGGAACCCCACCGGTGTGCCTAAGTGAGGCCTGCATATCAGTGACCAGCTCCATCTTGAGTTCCATGGACCCCACGGTGGACCCCTGCCAGGACTTCTTCACCTACGCCTGCGGCGGCTGGATCAAAGCCAACCCGGTGCCTGATGGCCACTCGCGCTGGGGGACCTTCAGCAACCTCTGGGAACACAACCAAGCCATCATCAAGCACCTCCTCGGTAAGCACTCAGCAGAGGACCAGTGGATGGGCTGCAAGGGAGGGCTGTCTGCTGGACCTGCCTGGCCAGGCCCGGTAAGAGGAAGACCTTGGCAGAATGGGGAGATGAAAGGCTTTCCTATGAGATAGGAGAAGAGTGAGACTGGGTTGGAATGTCTGCCCCATCACTCGTCATGTGAGCCTGAGGAAGGTGCTTATCTCTGAGCCTCACTTTCTTCATCTATAAAAACAGGAGTTTTTATAACACCGAAAGTTTAATAACACCCAAACTGCGGAGTTTCCAGAACTCGAGCACATGCACGTGAAGCGTTAGTGTGGTATGTGTGGCACATAGTAGGTGCACAGGAACTGGTAGCTTTAGTTGTGGCTTTTGTGGCTTCAAGCTGCGGCTTAGTTTTGGATCAGTATTGCCTGTGAGTTTTACAAGTTGTGAGCAAAAGGAATCAAGGCTGAGCACACTAGATTGGATTTTAAGGTTGTGAGCTGATAAAAGTTTTAACAGTGGTTTATCTGGGCGTTATTCATCGTAGGCATTGTCTTCCTTAGCCTCATTGTTCTCAGGCTTGCATGATACGCCGTCTAGCCAAAGTTCTTCTCTTTATACCTTGTTAGGCCTTCAGCACCTCTAGCTGACCTTGGCATTGGTGGTTTTATCCTCAGATTAGAATCCCACGTCTGTCTTGTTTGCAGCTGTAGCCCTGGTTACATGTCTGTTGAATTACCGTCTGCCCGTTGGGGTGCTCCTCCACGTGCAGTCAAAACACCCTGTGCTGTAACCTCTAAAGGTTCTGACTTAAACCCCTTAGAGCCGAGATCCTCGCCACCCCTGCTTCCTAGCTGACACCCGCCCCATCCTCGGACCCTAAATGCCGGGAGAGGCTAAATCATGAAAAGCCAGTTAGTTAATCCATCAATGGCAGGACTTAGATGCAACAAATACTTATTAAATTAAGTTTTTAAAAAACTCTCATGATACTCAAAGTAGATAAATTGAAGAAGACACCGAAAGGGGACAGATCTTCTCAAAGGGGCAGAAACCTTCCTATGAGACAGGTAAAGAGTCTAATTTGATGATCATGAATTCCAGGCAACTGTGTCTTTTAGAAAAAAGCAGGAATAAGCAAACCAGGTTAAGGAGACTTTTCCTTTCTTTCCCGTCTCAGCCCCAGGGGCCATGGCTGCTGCAGGGTGACACCCACCCGCGGCTTCTCCTTGGCCCCCAGCAGCTCCTGGGTGGGCTCCTCGGCAGCCCCTGCTTGTCCTCCTAGGGGTCAGAGCAGGGTGGTGGGTGGCAGTGGGGCCGAGGGAACTCCATACGTCAGGAACAGCAAAGCCCCCTGCCGGCTTTATGCCATCCAAGTGCCTTTGGTAGGAGACCGAGACTTTCATTTCAGCAAATCTGTCTGTGGTAGCCAGACTGGAACTCAGGGATGTCCCTTCCCTAGCATCTAAAGACACAGGGGCTAAGCTGGGACCATCAACCGAAGCAGGAGGGTAGTCCAGGCAGGACAACAAGACGGACTGGTGTCCCTGCTTCGGTCACCAGGACCTGGGTTCAAGTCCTGGCTCTACCATGAACTGTGTGATCTTGGGTCAGTTACATAACCTTTCTGGGCTTCTTCTCTCATCAGTAAGTACAGTGAGAACCAGGCCTCTTCCAGGTTATGAAAATTAAATGGGAAAATATCTTTAAAGTGCTGTGCCTAGGCCGGCCATATTATGGAGGCTGCTGTCTGTGTTGGTGTCACTGTTCTTATTATCACCTTTGACCTTTGCCCGGCACTTGTTAGTTTACAGAGCTCTTTTGTAGATTCCCTCTTACTTGACCCTGTGGGGTAGGAGCTAGGAAGGTATTGCTCACCCCACTTGACAGATAAGGAAACTGAAGTCCCGAGAACTCCTCGAGACAGGCTAGGAGGTGGCAGAGCTGGGGCTGCCTGACTCCTGGTCACGTGTCCTTTCCCTGTCCCACACCACCTCCTCCAGTTTCAAGGGGCGGTACGGCTCCCTGCCCATCTTGTTGGAGAGGTCCTGCAGGAAGCAGAGTGCATTGAGAGCCCAAGGGAAAAAGGCTGACACTTGTTGAGTGTCTGCTCCCCACCCTGCTCTGTACCAGGCTCTTTATATCCGCTGCCTCCTTAATCCTCACAGCTACACTGGGACTGAGGAACAGTGGTTCCCATTTTACAGATGAGGAAACTGAGAGAAGTTAAGTAACTTTGCCACAGACACCCTGCCAGTATAGAATGGAGAGGGGCTCCAGCCCAGGGGCAGTTAGCACTGAGAGGGGATGGGAAGCAAGACGTCGGGCCCTCTAACTCCCAGTCAGGCCCAGAAGCAGCCCTTTTATAGGGTGCCCGTGAGTCCTGATCCTGCTGGTTCTGGGGCTGGGTCTTCTCAGGAGGACCTTGGGTCTAGGCCAGGACAAGTCCATCCTCCTGCCCCTCTCCCCAGGTGGCAGGGCCTGTGAGGAGTGGCCTCCAGTTCTGGGCTCTGGCCTTACATCCACACTGTCCCTGAGGGTCAAGGTGTGGTGGGGGAGCTGCACTGAGCTGGACATGGAACAGTCAGAACTCTGCGTTCAAGCCCCTGGCTCTGGGGCCACAGCCTGGTGGTTTTCAGGAGCCCAGGCATGCTAGCTCACCACGTGTGACCTTGGAAAAGTGACCCGGCTTCTCTCCAGCTTAGCTTCACTATCTGTAAAATGGAGATAATGATGCCACCTGACACTCAAGGTTACTGTGAAATGGTCTCACATGTGATGGGTCAGAGTGCTTAACACAGAGCCTAGCACCTAATAGGTGCTCAGCATAGCAGAGCTGCCCTTCCCGGTGGTGGAAGGTGAGTTCCAGCCCAGACCTCTCCCTGCAGGCTGTGTGACTGCAGAGAGGCTGAGGAGCCTCTCTGGGCCTCAGCTCTTCCCCTCTAAAGTGGGAACTCACTCAGAGCACTGGTAGGATTGTTCTAAGAGTTAATTGGATGACTGAAGAAAGAGTAATTATTGCTTATTTTATTTCCTGTAGAAGCACTGATGGACCCTGTTATCGGGGAAGGGGGTACAGGGCGTATCCATAACCATGCTGGGTTGTTTACTTGTATTATTTTATTTAAATTATGGAATAGGCTGTATCTGCCCATTTTCTAGATGAGACTCATAAATACAAAGGAAACGTATTTCCTAGGAAATGGTAGAGCTGGGATTCAGCCCCAGAACGGTGGGTCCTCAGACCTGTATTTTTTCTCTGCTGTATACACTGAGGTCACAGAGCAGCCCAGAAATACAGTTTGCCAACCTCCTTTCCCCCGTGGCTGCATGACTGAGTTCTCCAGGCCGGGTGAGACCTGGCCCAGGCCCAATGAACACAGCAGCTGGAGTCACCTCCTGTCGTACTGACCAAGAGCTTCCTCACAAGACCTATCCTGGCTTCCCCTCCCCCTGGGCTCTCTCCTGGGAACTGGTCTGGAAACGGCCCCTCACCTGTGGGCCTTCATACCTGGGGCTCTGATACCTGAAAACTCCTGAAGGGACAGGAAGCGGGTGAGTGGGTGACCAAAGTATGCAGGAACGTGGGCTGGTGCATTCTTGGGCTCAAGGCCAGGCTGGTTTCAGCTCCCCCAGACGTAGAGGTCAGCCAGCAGGCCTCAGGAGAGAGCTGGAGCTGAGGGGATTGGGACTCCAGGGGTACCTGGCTGTCCAAGCTGGCCTGGGGGGTGGCTTCTCTCGGAAGAGGAGGACCATTCAGAGGCTGAAGAGGGCTGGGTCAGCCAGCCGGGCGGAACAGCTATTACCAGCATCTTGCTGTGTGACCTCGGGCAAGCCGCTTCTTTCTGTAAACAGTGAATTCATTCTGGCTCCCTGAGAGGAAATCCAGGCAGATCTGTAGCAGGTGGGTTGAACCGGACCTGGTGCCACTGTGGCATGACCTGGCAGCCTGATGACTAGAGGCGGGTGACCCCAGATGCATGAGACACAGATGCCTCACCCAAAAGACACTCTGTACCCACCCGAGCTACCAGCTTGGGCTGTCTTTGTAGGAGACAACGGTGTGTCCTGCCTTTACCAGAGGAAGGATGCAGCTGGGCCCATCACCCCTTAGACTGGGCCTTGCCTTAAGCTTTCCAGCTTGTGCTTTTAGCACAGACTGTTCCGCCATCTAGAAGGCCTCCCCCACCCCTCCCTATCCTGCAAGACGTTTCTCAAACCTGCTTCTTCTGTTATGCCTTCCGTGGCTACCAAAGGGCCTCTCTGGACTTGAGCCACAATTATACGTTGTGTGCCTGTCATATTTGCTATATTTTATATTATAAGAAGAGTAGCATGCAAAGAAAAATTGATCCCTGCATGTTGTAACCATGTGCGCAACACAGATTCCATAAAGAATGTTAGCGGTCTCCCTTTCTTCTACCCCTGATGCCAGTCTCCCTGAGAAATACAAATAGCATCATTCCAGTAGCATTGAATCTGGCCACATCAATGACTTGGCAGTTAGTCATGTTGCCCTGTGACATCACTTCTATTTTTATTTTGATTTGTTTCTCCAATATTTACTGTCTACAGTACTTGCATCTTCCTGTGCATGTTGGAATCTCTATGGACAAGGTCTGCATCTGAAATGCTTTCTATTCAATATTGTGCTGGCAGCAGTGGGCCCTTCTTTCTGTTTGGGGAATGGTCAGATGGATGGATTGATGGATTGATCCAAGGATGGGAGTGGGTATCCAGGGCTGCTTAGGGCGGCTGGACTGCTTCAGGTCTGCCCCTGGTTTTCAGGCGAACCTGCAGGAAAGAGAAAGGGAGGCACAGAGAGCTTAGGCCTCTCTTCTGGCCTCAGCCACTCACTAGTATGACCTTGGACCAGTTACTCAGCCTCTCGCCAGCGGAAACTGTTAAGACAAGATTTACACCCACAGCCACACCCACACACAGAGGAAGCAGTTCAACTTCCCAGGGAGACTTAAAACCATGTGGGTTCAAATTCCAGTGTCCTGAGTATTAGCTCT